GGTGGGAGGTTCGGGTGTTGGGGTTGCTTCTTGGGTTGTTGTTACTGTCGCGGTCATGGTGGGCGTGAATGTGAGGCTGTGGCTGTATAAGAGAGGAGTTGTATGAAGTGATATTGTGGTGAGTTTGCCTGTAATTTCTTGTGGTGAATTGTCTGGTAAAATGTACTGGTGAGATTGTTTGAATGAAATCTTTGTAAATGAGATAAAAACAAGTTGTAATGAGATAATCCAGTCGCAATGGAAGTTCTGGTCATTTATAAGCGGTGGCGCGCACGAAGCTGATATCAAGAGCAACTACCATCACCAAGTCACATGAGTGCTTTCGGATGACGATCTAGCGTCTGGAGGGCAGCACCAATCATCTTAAGAGCAACACCATCTACGCAAACACCAGGCAGCAGATTGATTAGAAATTAAAAAGGCGCCTAGGAACTTTACAGCAGCTGCGTCATTCTATAAGTAGTCATATTTAAGTGTGAACAGGGGGGCAGGACTGAGAGCGGGATATGATGCATCCGAGAAACTGATAGGTCTTGAGTAAAAAAAAAATTCACGATTTATAGAGTGGTAAGTAAAGTAACATCCGGCGGTCTGTTTGCCGCTCTAACCAGTAAACGCCGTTGATGCCGTACAGTATGTTGCTTCATTCTCGCCTCGTTTGACGAGTGCGATATCCAAAACAGAAAAGAAGCTTCCCCATGAATGAATCCCCCTTCATGAACCCGGGCCATGCCTTGGCTTTATTTCCTCCCATCATGTTGTATCAGTGTGTCGCAAATGAATTGTAATTTAGAACAGTAATATATCCCTCTAAACCATGAATGACTCTCCGCATCCGCATTCTTCCTCTGTTGCCCATTGTGTTAGTGCGAAAATTCGACAATAGAGCGGGGAGGGGGGTAAGGGGCAAGGAAAGGTTTTAAGACGTACTGATGTTGGGGTTCCTGAAAACAAACCGCTGGTTGAGCTTGTCCTCGGCCCAGTCCATCTCGCTCCCAATGATGCTAAACAGCGCCTTGCTGTCGATCAAGACCTTGACGCCGTCCTGCTCGACCGTTTCGTCAAAGGCCCCCGGCTTCTCCACGTACTCGAGGTGGTACGCCAGCCCGCTGCAGCCGCGGTTCTTGACCCCGACCTTGATCAGTTTTGGCTCGGGCTGGTCCAGGAGGGAGCGCAGCTGCTCGACCGCCGACGGGGTCAGCGTCATGGCCGCCTTGCGAGCCCGCAGCTTGGGCCGCGGGCGAGGCGTCTTGGCCTTGGTCTTTGGCGGGGCGGCCTCGACCACCGGTGGCGCGACGGGCTTCTCTACGGGAGTGGCAGCCTGCTTCTGTTGCTTCTGGGGGTTGAGGGCCTGCTGGTGGTGCGCGGGTATGGCTGGCGGGCGAGTTTCGTGGACTCGGGGGAGCGGCTCGGGATGGCTGAGTGACGTCTCGGGGATATCGTCATTGCTCGGCGGAGTTGGCGAGGTGGAAGGCAGCGAGTAGGAGTGGTATGCGGAGTAGAAGTTTTTGGGCGCGGCGAAGAGTCGGGTGTTGATGCGACTCTGTCGCAGGGCAACTCTGGCCACGGATCGAGGTAGGGGAATCATGGCAAGATCATGAAGAGCAAGGCGTTGGAGACTGGCTAGCGTTCATGACAGGTCCCGGCGCTGGTGCAAAACGGAGGGTCAGGAGGTGTTCGACGCTCAATTGCGAAGGCCCGGTGAGGCGCGGGAGGGCGTAGCTGATGTTGCTGTAGGTGGCGGGTGTTTGAGGAGAGGGGGGAAGGGATTTCGGCTGCTTGCTGGTGTCGTTGCGGTTCTGGAGAGAAGAAGTACGGCGGCGAACTGTGTGGTTGCCGGATAGATTTAGGTAAGGTAGATCCCAAAACGCCACAGTGCAGCGCTGCAGCGCCCCAACAAAGCCTGTGACCGGAGCTGCAGCGGCCTTGCATGCGTTGTAATTGGGGGGAGGAGGGGGGCTGCCCCACCGATCCATTGGTCAGCCGGCACACTCTCCCTCGAACTCGATTTTGTCGTATGACATGGCAGCCAAGGCCGCCGCGCTCCGAGCCTATCGGAGGCCCAGCATTTGTCAGACCGTCCTGATCTTTCCGTCGGCGCTGCTGCCAGATCCATTTCTACACGCATAAACTGTGCTTTTGCTTTAAGAGTGCTCATTTTCAGGGCCGAAGCCGAGGAGAAACTAATTAGTCAACCAGTTCGTGGCTACGGCCATTCGGCTGCCACTCAATTACTAAGGAAATGTCCCACAACGGTCGGGATCAACATTTGACTTCAATCGTCCCATACGGCCAAATAGGTTCTTCGGTGCCGTACGGTCTTATTTTCATGCCGTGACTAGTCCGATCCAAACTTAAGTGCCTTTAGACAACCTCACTCATTGGCCAGTTAACTGCATACTACACAACACGGTCAAGAAAGAAGCACTCATGGATAAGGGAGCCAAGCCCACAATCTCTCATTAATAATAAAGTAGACTTCCTACTATTAAAGCCGCCACATATGGTGCATCATCTACAACGGCCGTGGCTCATTTACACTTCGTTCCAAACAAATGTCAGTTCAAACCTCGCCACGCTTCTCCGAGACACCAGCGGCCTCAGCAGCAGCTGTGCCCTGGACAACGACATCCTCAGCAGTCTCGTCACTGAATTTGAGATCTTCCTCCAGTGTGATGGTGTCCTTGATCTTCCAGAAGAGGACGGGGGCGGCGCAGATGAGGGAGAATGCGAGCAGAGCCCAGGTGACGTAGAACATGGTGCGGTACTCGATGTTGTCATCACTGTTGATCGACCAGAAAGCGCAGGCACCAGCACTTTGGATTCCCTATTACCCCGCCACGTTAGCACAACAAATTTTTTGCACATCATATCTAAGGAGTATATCCTTACCTTGTAGAAACCAGCCAAGTTGGCAGCCTTACGGCCAGAGTTGGAGAGAGAACCCATGAACCAGTAGATGGAAGTCTGCCAGACGGCATCGAAGAAGCCGTAGAAGAAGTAAAGGAACATGGGGCCAATGAACTTCTCACCGCCGTCGGTCCAGTCGACGAGGCTGTTGGCCTTGTACTCGTCAGTGGAAGCCTCCTTTCGGCTAACCTGCTTGATCTCCCAGGCGTAACCTCCACCCCAGACGACAAAGGTGATGGCGAAAATGGCAGCCCAGCAGATCTTGGCGCGCAGGCTGCGAGAAATCTTGCCAACGTCAAGGCAGTAACCCATGATGATAGCGCCGATGATCTGGGCGAGCCAGTAGAGCAGACCATTGAGGGCACGAGTGCGGACATTGAAGTGGGTTCCGTTGAGACCGTTGTTCTGGTAGGTGTAGAAGATGTTGGAGCTGAAGAACATGGGGAACAGGGCGACGATCCAGGGCTCAGCTCGGAGAGTTTCCCAGAGGCCCACGAGCTCGGTCTTCCACGAGGGGTTCTTCATCAGGACGACCTTGGAACCGTCTTCTCGGATGATCTTGTCTGCGTTGCAGAGGAAAAGTCCAAGAACAAGACCCAGGAACATGAGAACAATGAATCCAGCGTAAGTGCCATCTGTGACGGGACCTGCTGTCTTGTGGATATTTTCAGCGAGGGGAATCTATTCAAATACATCAATTAGCTTCAAATTAAGTTGAAATGCCCAGACACGCCTGAGTGGAACTTGAAGTCGAGTTCATCCGCAGAGCAAATTCTTCCTCCAAAAGAAACTACGAGCACGTACCAGAGATCCAATGACGGCACCGGTGTTGAAAATGATCCAGAACCAGGAGATATAGCGTCCCTTGTACTCCTCAGTGGGGTACGACATCATGACGGCGCCCTGGCCAGTCCAAAGGAGACCAGCACACAGACCGAGGAACGCGCCAGCGAAGACGGTGAAGCCGAAGTTTTGGTTGTGGTTGTATGACAGGAAAGAGGCGGCGTAGATGCAGTAACCCAGACCACCAAAGGCGATGGTGAAGCGGAGACCGAGAACGTTGGCAATGGTTCCGGAGAAGAAACCGACGACGGCGAAGACACCGTAGAGCGCGGTGTTGGCGACCGTCTGGGCATGGGGGTCAACCTGACCACCACCTCCGAGACCACCCAGAGCATTGAACATACCAGGGCACAGGAAGCAGACGAAGGAAACCATGAGCAGCTGCACTAGGGGAGAAGCGTACCAGAGCTCCTTGCCGCCGACGTTGAAGCCCTTGTAGATCCATCCTGAAGGTCGGGGGATAGTCCCCGAGGGCGCGGGCGCATGAGCGTCGGTAGCGACCTCAGTCGGGCCGGCCTTTTCGTCCGACATGATGATCGAGTGTTGACTTGGCGGATTGATTGAAGGTCTCGTGAGAACTTGGGGTTGGAAGATGCAGGGTCGTTCTCCCTGACTACAAGTTACGAGTGAGTTGGCGACCTTTGCGATGAAAGGTCGATGTGGAACGAAGAACAAAACCAAGCACCCCGGACGGTTTGACTTTGAGGCTCAGGCGTGCTAGGAAAAAGGCACAGCTGTTCGTGGGGGGGAAGAAGGGACAAAAAAGAGTGAGGAGAGGGCCGATATTTGAATCTCAACGGCGCCGATCGCCCCTCTTCGGAGGAGAGTGGTAACAGGGCAGGGGTGCCGAGCACAAGTGAATGGGGGAGCTAAAAGAGACAGGACGGATACGGGGCTGTTGGTGGGATGATGTGACACTCCATCCGGGACGATAACATGAATGGGACCCTTCAAGCTTGGCTGGACCGAAAGGATGGGGTGGGTGGGTGGATGGATGGATGGATGTCAGTGGTAAGGTGGGAATTCAGAAGCAGGGTCCTGACCTCGTGGTCTGGTAGCAATCATCCAGCAGGTGGACAAAGCTGATAGACGCGAGGTGAGAGCCAGTCTCGAAATGAAACAGGCAAGGTACCGGCGCTGGCAGAGCAAGGTCAAGGTCGTAAGGTAGCATCGCGTCCTATCGCAGCAGTTTCTGTGAGCCAGGTGAACTGCACGCAGATAACACCCAGACTAATTGCGGCGAAGCCCGGGGCTCCCTTCCATGGTTACGTGACAATGAGTCGGGAGTTTTTTTGTGGAGGGACGAAGGAATGGGGAAGAGTCCAGTGACACTCGACTCGGGCTGACCCCGATGCAGCAATCGACGTTGGCTCGAATACCTACCTGAACGGTGCGATCAATTTGCATCTGCTGGTGATGCCAGATATTAGCTGCTACCTCAGGCAGGTCAGTCAAGGTACCCAGCAACCAGTGACGGGGACTGGTACGTATCAGGTACCCGCATCTACTCGATGAATCAGGCCTATCTCTACATGGATCACCGTCCGATGGCATGTTGATCAGCCATGTCCGAGCAATCTGGGTATCCGGCACCCAAGGCTGAACAACGAATGGCACTTGGACAGGCCAACTGGCTATCATGTGGCCTGTCCCGTATTGCGCTGAGCTGAGCTGAGCTGAGCCAAGCTGCAGCAGATGCAATGCCCAGTGCTCCTTGTGCCCCAGACAAAACAAACAACGATTGCCGATGCTACGATACATGGTGCAGCCCGCCAAGCATCTGCAGCCCTGAACGGGCAATTGTACCTAGAGCGACCCACGGGGGCTTGCCTTAGTGCTGGAGCGCCATCGTGGCGCTGGTTGCTCCCCGTATCCGCCATCTTAGGGCCTTGTTATTCCCCCCAATCCCCCTAATTTGCCCACGCCTGCCCTGCAGTCATCACGCGACCCCGACCTGCTATATACGAAGACAGGTACCTCCTTGGACCGATCAGGTCTTCTTGCCGGAATGGCAGGTCTCGAAGAACCACACAGCAACGCCCGTCTGAGCATAGGCCGCGGTGTAAATTTTCAAGAATTGAAGGGATGCTCATGCTCGTATATTTGCTTTGTCGCCTGCTTACTCGCGCCCCTAGAACATTGGAGGACCTCTCCCCCCGTTCTAGCTCTTTAGCCCCGTCAATTAACCCGTTCCAAACCGTCCAGCGCTAACAAAGGGTCCAAATTAGAAAAAAAAAATCAAAATCAAAAGTAACATCAGTAACCAGGCACGGAAATGTTGAAAATCTCCTCTGTGATACCACCGCAGAGTCATCCCCAAACACGCCCGAAAAGGGGTGCCAATTGCCACTCCACGCCGCCCAGGAGCTGCTCGCAACAGAACGTGTGACATGTCTGTTTTACATTAGGTACAAGCAATATCGAAGGCACACCTCCATACCCCAGATCCACAAGGGGGCCTTTTTGGAAGGACCGATTACTCGCCCGCCAGCGATTGGGCGTCAGAAGCGCCGATCGGCCCCTGCTGGCTGCCCGCGCTTCAAAATGGGTGTAATCACGGCTGTTGCATAGACAAAACTCTGTTTTTCTGCTTATCACATGGACTGTTCAATGCCCGTATTTTCAACATGACAAGATATTGCTTCTTTAAACTAAGTCCCCACTTCGCCTCTCGCATTGATTAACATGCTCTGCTTGGGAGCAGGAACCCAGAAGAGAATCCTACCCAGTTGTGCCCAAAAAAGAACATCATAAATTAATTCTAAATTAGAACCAGACACACAAACGAGGCGGAAGATAGATCACATCTGCAGTAACAAACACAGTCCATTCAATATGCAGCAATGCCAGTTTCTCATTTTGGGATACTTTCCTTATTTACACACACACATCAATCAGATACGGCTCCTGAAGTCCCATCCCCCTCAGCATTGCTGCGCTGGGGGGGTCATCCATGATCCATCCACCATGTAACGTTTCCCTCGTCCATCATGCCCACGACCCCAGCACACGGAATCGTCCCCCCAAACCCCAGCCAACCAACTCGTGCCACCACCTACCTGTAACCTCTGTGCTGTGCACGTATGTAGCCACACAGGGGGGAAGGGGGGACTGATTATCCTACACGTCGAACCTGTGAACAACCAACCAGGCCTCGCCTCCCTTCCCTTGAATTGCCTTCATTACCTGCCGCCAGTACGCGGTCCAGCCGAGGTGGGCCGTGCGCTGGAGCAGTGTAACATGCGAACCGATCCATTCCCTCTGCCTTGGGTCCCGGCTACTGGGTATCATGGCAATCTGAAGAATTGTGAGCTCGTGGTAGGTTGCCCACACCTCTACCCCGAGTAGTTAATCGGCTCACATGCGGAGGGTTCGTTACACTAGCATGACTCCATTAACCCAAAAAAAGGCCTTTCGCCAACCGGCCTGGTACGCCAGATATAACTTGTGACTATGGGACTTGCATTGGCATGGCAAGACGAGAGCACCACACCGTGGCAAAGGTTGTCGATCAGGTTTCGTATACCACGACAACATGCACAAAGCATATTATGTAGAGAGCATGAGGGAGCCAAGGTGGATTGCATAAATGACTGTTATTTTTCCATATACCTGGTTGGCTTCTACATCTATCAATTTTCACATTGATTAGGCGAGGAGCATCATCTTCCTGCAGTTATCCATTTGCAGTTCTTGAACTTTGACTATGATTCTTGTTTTTGCCTTCCACAAAAACGATTCTGTTCTTTTGACTAGGTAATTAGTTGTACCCATGACGTTGGCATAGGAGCCAGACCCGTTGCAGTCATTCAACGCTAACCTCCCATCCAGTCCTATCCCATCCCGGGATCCGTTTTGACGACGCCAGAAAGTTGTGACAAACCCATTCTCATACCCAAAATAAAAAAAGATTCCCAATGCCTCCTCCAACGCCAATAATGACTATCGAACCAAGCCCAATCTAGGCTTTTCCCCAATTTTTGTAATACCGATACCCCAAACCCTATATTTTGCAGGGTGACCCAGACCATAGCGGAACCTGCAAAACAAAACGACCGAAAGTCCCAATAACTGGGTTGTGCACGAGTAACCGTCGTTCCTCTGACCTCCGGGTATTGAGTATTGGTACAGGCAATATAATAAACAATAAAATCGATGCCATCCATTAGCCATCAGGATAGCTCGAGAAAAAATATGACGAAGAATAAGAGACGCAAAAACGAGAGAACATTTAAAGCGAGGGTATCAAGGTAAAATAAAAACAGACAAGCGATGAAATACTGGCGGCATAATAAAATGATATATGTGTCGTCGTTATGGTAAATGGCACCAGGCACAATCAAGATGTGTGCCTTGAAACAGATAATCAGCTCCAGGCGGAGCTGACTCCCGAATTTATTTTGTTTTAGTTTGCTCGGTCGCGGGACATCCAGCCAAACAGATCGGTACGAGATGATCCCGCCGCAATCGAGGGCGTTGGCTCAGTGGGGGTGCGGGCCACAGCAGTCTCGCGAGGTTCCAAGAGCAGACTCTTCCGATAATATGTGACTTGTATCTTGCCTTGGTCACCTTCGCGGACCTTGTTGATTTGATCGCCAAACCAGTCCTGCATGTCGGGGACCTCACTAAGGCGATAAGGAATTTGGAATCGCTGGAGTTCACCGATGATCTTTGCAGTACGGGCATGCTTATCGAAATTGATAACTGTCATGCCGCTTGCCCTGTGATCGTCGGTTTCCTCACCAAAGGACATTTGCTTGGTTGGTGGGTTGCCGATATCAACAAAAGTCAAATCGGTGAGATACATGCCAAGGAATGGGAGGCATGGTGGGACGTGATCATGGAGACGAGTTCGAAGTATCTTGTTGTTTTGAGATGGCTCGACAAGTTCCTGAAGAGTACGGAGCATCGTCTTTCGTCGGACGGAGAGGGTATCCCACGTCTTCCTTAAGCGGCTAATAGTGCTGCTGTTGAGACTACAAATGATAGCCATGAGTCCATCATAGTTGTTCAACTCTAGACAGTGGTGAGCAATCTTGATCCACTGCTTGAGGACAGCAGCTCGTTTCTTGATCTCCGAGTGTTGGAGGATAGTGTCGGCCACCAAGTTCGAGATATCCGTAGAGAGCGCGGACATGGCTTTCACGTTTGGAGCGTCCACGCCTCCATTCTTCATCCACTGAGAAGCGAGAAGCTCCTCGGGTGAAATAGCGCAAAAGATGTTCATTTGCTTAACTGTGAGTTGACGAGCTAACTCGATTGGCTCAAAGTCGAGAACATTGGGCGAGGCGCCACCTGATTTCCAAACAGAGAGCAGGTTCTGCTGGCTCTTTGAGAGCGAAGTTGCTGGAACAGGAGTCTCAGCCGGGACATATTGCGCAATGGATGTGTTTGTCTTGCCCATAGATGAGACAAGTCGTGGAACAAGCGAAGCACCACCAGAAACGCGGTGGGCCAACTCCACAAGTCGGCGCCCAGCAGGGGGCAGGAGCTCACTTAGTCTACCCTCTGCAAAGGTGGTGATCAAGACGAGAGCTTCACGATCAGTTTGATCTCTCCAGTGAGTTTCAAGCCAGCCCTTGAAAGCATTATATACTCGCAAGCGCACTGGCCCTGACATATGAGGGCTCTCTCCAACGTACTCAAATCGGTCGATGAGGGTTTCGGCCAGCTTAAGCGGGCTGCAAAACAATCGGAAGGTAAGGTAAAAAGTAGAAACAAACATGGCATCAGGGGCGGCTTCATGCGTCGTCAAGCGCTCCACAAGTGCCGGGAGAGTTCCACCAGTCACTTGACCCTCCCTATTGAACATGAGCTCGTGAGCAAACGTCTTCTCCATAAGGCGTGATTCAAGGTCCTCAACTTCTTCCGTATTGTTTGATGCAGCAGAAGCACTGAGTTCGGACATGGAAGGCTGGTTACGAGGAACATGAGTATGGTCAGGAGTTGAGGCTCGAGTGGATCCCTGAGAAGTCACGCTGGCTTCAGAATCGCGGCTTAGGAAAGTGGCACTGCTACCGGCGCTGGATGCTACCAGGCTGTCAAATCCCGAGGATGCGTGATAGTCCTGTTCAGAGAAAGCATGGTGCTCGTCTTGAGATACCTGTTCAGTGACCACGGTAGAAATGTTGAGGAGTGCAATTGACTGTCGTCTTGAAGAAGCCGGGGATGTGGTGCTGCTCACACTCTCGCCCCCCTTGGAAGAAGGTCGGGTTTCAGTGACAGGGAGAACATCCTCAGCGATATCCATCTCAGGCACATCTGGAAGAGGCTTGTCGATATCAAAACCGCCAAGTTGCCGAGGACCAGGAGTGGCAGAGCCAGCTGTGCATGTCGATTCTGCGGCGCTTCCCGAATCAGACTGCCCTGCTGCCGACGGCTTTCTCTCCCTAACCACGAAAGCATCGTCTAGAATGGTCAAATCGATTCCTAGATCGGTTTCCATGTCCTCCTTTTCCAGTTCAAAATCACCCACCCATTCGATTGTGGTCCTGGCTTTCGCGACGCAATCTCCCGCTGTTCGCACACATCCGGTGGCTGAAGTCAACAAGATATGATTATCTTGGGGCATAATAAGGTCGGCCTCCTCAACGGTGGAGTTCACAATGGTGTCTCGAGCAGCAAAGACAAGGTGGTGGATCTGGTCGAACAAAGCCCCTCTTGCAACGACAAGGATGACATTGCTGTTCTGGTTGTATGTGATCACGGCGTCAATGACACCAAGCAGCCGTCCACCTGTTCCTGCGCACTGCTTTATCGCGGATGACAGCTCGGGGCTTGATTGAGACTGGTGAAGTCGTCCAATGAATGAACCCAAGTGTGACAAAAACGCATCATGGCTACGGTTGAGGCACTCCAACGCGAGCTTGTTGCGACGAAGGCAGCTGGCCGGACCTACAAGAGAGACCCGATGTGAGATAGAAGAGGTTCGATTGGAGTTAACATTACTCCCTTGAGATAAACGGTGTGAGAATGCTGGAGATTGTGACCTCTGTGAGGGATTCAAGGAAGAGAGACGCCTGTTCGAAGGCAGTGGGAAATCGTGACCCATTTCCGGTGCCTCAATGCTTACAGAAGGAGCGGGTGAACGGCCTTCTAAGCTGGCCAAGGTCGCAGCTTCGCTGCTGATGACAGAGCGAGCCTCATCATGGCTATCAACCACCATCGGATCCGCTGGGGGCGTAGAAAGATTCGGCGTCTCCTCCAGGACAGTATCCATAATAGTGATAGGGGCAGGAACTCGACCCATCTTATTCTCGTCAAGAGTATCCATAAATCGAACTGCTTTAGTAACAATACGCAAGGCCTTCAAGATCATCTCATCGACGATGTCGTTCACATCTTCAGGGGGGTTGAGGATTTCTCGTTGGCTCTCTTGCATTCGCTTAGCAGTCTTCACCAGCGACGAGAGCTCCGACATCAGAGACTTGCGACATCTCCGGATCCCGTCACACCGTTGGATAACTGGCGATTCTCTATTCAAGCAATTCGTTCTTTGCTAGCTCTGGTGGTTAGCGAATATTTGAGTGATGGGAACTTGGCGGAACAGGCTTACAAGTAAAAATCTAACTCCGGCAATCATCCCCTTCATAAACTCTTGATTCCCGAAAATCTCGCTGTCGTTAACTGACGAGCTTCTCAACAGGTCCCAGAAGTTGAGAAGAGCTTTTAATAGGTTTCGCATCTCGGGTGGCTCGTAAGACTCGCAATAATTCGTTGGAAGCCACCCTCTCGCACCAGATGCTAAGAGAGTACCGTCTGCCCACCCATTGGTGTGGATGGAATGTATCAGTACAATATCACCCTCATTCAAGGGCAGTGTAATGCTTGAGTCTGTCATAGCATAGGTAGGATCAAACGGGTAGAATGCCCTCAGAAAGTTGTGGAAAATGAGCGGCCCCTCAGACTCGGGGGCCAGGTTCTCGTACGAGCCATTCGGAGTGGCAGGTGGAGTCATCTCGGAGGGCTGTCTGTAAATGTTGGAAGTTTCTTGGTCATCCGAGTATCCGGAAGCATTGGATGCAACTTTTCCGGTGGCCAATGGAGCCACGTAGAAATCGGCTGGCATTGATCGCTTGCTAAGCATCGCGATGGGCGCGGAGACGGGCGGTTCAGATCATCGGGCGGTTCAAATAGGCGCCGATTCAATGGCGGCTACCAGTCATACGGCACGGATGACAGCTTCGTCCTTCCCAAAATGGCAATTTTGAATCTAGTTCGTGACAGCAACTTCCGAACTCGATATAAGGTTCAACCGCTGGATGAAGGATGGCAAGATCTGGAATTTTCCATGGTCAGATTTGTTTCATAATATCCATGCGGGACGCGTCTGGTCTCTTTTGTTTGTCCATATACTGTAACCAACAGCCGTCACCGGCTGGAATGCAGGGAAGAAAAAAAGAGAGAGGCAAAGGTGGGTTCCACTCGTTCTGTGGCGTTCCTCCCGGAGGAGGCGAACCAAGTTTCATCTCAGTTGGAGCCTCGCATCAACCAACAGAATAGCTCGAGATAAAGAGTTGTGCGAAAATTTGAAAGGGAAATATACATCCTCAGGTAAATCAATTCCCGTCGATATTGCTGCGAACTGTATGCGACTGACTACCGTGGAGATGATACGATCGTATTGCAAGGCAGTAGACGTGGTAACTCGAGATAAAAGTTGACTTACATAAAATGCCCACTAAAGCTCCTGTTCGGGATGTAAATCGTAAAAGAGGCGGTCTGTGGTCTCTCCTTGAGGAAACTCGGAATCGTGTTTAGAAATTTGGTCGTACTCGCAGCTCAATTGCTGTATCACGTTGCACGCAACGTCCAGTGTTGATAAGTAGTAAAAGACGGCAGGGAACGAGGGCTGCGTCAAGCAAGCGTCGGTGGTCGTCGGTTGGTGTCGTTGATCTCCAGCTCCAGGTAGGAGATAATCGGCCGTCAATGAGCTCCTGGTGGATTGGCAAAAGTCGATCCCAAACCGAAAGCTGCCGTGGGGGAGGGGAAGGGGATAAATGAATGAAGGTCGAGGGCCAGGAGGGTAAGAGCAGATCAAGTGGTTCCCGTGGCAAGCAGAGCAGGTGCTATGGGGAAATAATTACATATGTACACGGATCGATTTCCTGGGAAGGGGACTTGGTCCATGAGCTACCCACTCACACCTTCCAGACCAGAGAGACGTCGACACACCAAGACAATCGACCTACGGGGACCCGGCAAGGCGGAGAAGCAGAGCAAGAGCAGTCCACAGGAGAACCCCATTGCGTTACCGATTTGTGGTGCGCCCCGGCACCGACCTCCACCTTGGAGCTGGTACTGACTGGCTGGGGGGTACCACATGCGGCAGTAGTCAGGGGTGCGAGCGCAGGTACCAGTGCGCAATCCGTGACCCACGCCCCATATCCGCTGGTGGATGGGTGCATCACCACAGCGAGTGAGTGCAGTCGACACACCCCCCTTCCCCCTTCCCCTTTAGCGTTCCCAGGGCGGCGAAAAAAAGAAATAGAGGGACCAGACCAGGTCAGGGGCAGTAGCCAGGGGCCCTGCCTGAGCTACCGGGTGATAGGCAAGTATCGTCGTACACTTGCCTCCACAGGCTCTGGCGTCCGGTATTGTGGTTGCCAGTACCTAAGGTAGCTGATTGTCCAATGCTACTCTGCACCTGCGGACAAATTGCAGAGTACTACTACACGGTGGCATCAATTGCTGTTGGCATGCCTAGATTGCACGCGGTGGCGATAGAGTTTGGCTGCATCCGTTGCTGAAAAACGGCTTCTGCGGACTCCTCGCCCCTACATACATAGGTATGGAGCCAGGCCGGAGGTGCTCGGCTGCTTGTCAGCCTTCAACGTCCAACGGCATACACGAAAAGAAAGGCCTCGCTCGCTCGTACGAGAGTCTTTTTGTCCACAGGGGAGGTCCATGAGCATCCCCCACGGAGCCTAGCATGCATACCCTGCCCATGCCCAACGTCAACGGGTTCCCTCTGGGATTTCCGCGGTCATTCCCGCCCAACGCTCCCACGACACAGCACAAGTCCTCCTCCTATCCAGGGTGGACCACCTCTAGATTAGGTAGAGATTTCCACTCTCGTCTGCGGATGCCAAAAGGCGATAACGTAGCCATTCACCGACGCGTTGGAAAGCCCATCGCTAGTGTGGTAAGGGTGGCCAGGAAGGCGACGACCCTGGGTATGAGTCGCCAATCGCAGCTGAGGTCAATGAGAGCACTGTCACCCTACCTACTTCGACTCGTTCCCTCGTGCTGCCCATCCTTAAGCTCACCCGCGTCCGTAGACTTGAACAGCCAAACCCGCTTGCGAATAACCACGTATACGTTGCAGAACGCCTGCGCCACTCCTCGGTGTATGGTTCCCAGTAGAGCCTATTTGCGCGTCATATGTTATGCTAGATTCACACGATGCCCGGTTCCTATATGATGATCACTGCTTTTCCCATGCCCGTTCTTCCTGTTGCATACATATGGGAGACCTGGTCTGGCGCTGTGCTACCTGCTGATCGATCGGTGGGGGTCGAAAGCATCCAGGTCTCGATGCACGTAGCGCGTGTGCTACCCATCTGATGTCGTGTGCCGGGATGTACCACGGCCGGCAGGGTGCAACAGACTCCCACCAATTAATCATTGACTCGTAAACGAACCGGGTGTTGATCGATGTCACATGTTGCCGGTTTATTTCTTGAGGGGTGCAGGTGGGTGGCTATACTGGCCGCGATGTATGCAGTACATACATGCGCGCAGAAATGCGCTCAGATGGAGATCATTGATGTTTCGACCTCGTCTAACAAGCGCAATATTTTCTTTTGGTGTCTCCGCTCGGACGCCGCAAGAAAAAGCAAATCCTCTCTGAAGAAGATGCAATATCCTTGTCAATGGCTGCCGTAGTCAACCACACAGACGAACTGGCCTCAAAAGGACAAGTGCGCCTGTACAACAACTCAGGAGATACTTAGTACAATCTATTCCACCACTACATCATCCACAGAGTCTATTTGCTACCATATCCCACCTAGCCGACTTTTCTTTCTGTTCCTTTTTTATCTTCTTCCCGCTCTGTACCATGAGTTTTGCCAGACAATTTAACCCTCATGACGGCTGTTCCAAATTCCCGACACATGTTTGAATCATGACTTGGTTTCCCTAGCAATGCCTCCTCTGCACAGAGGGTTGCCTCGAACTTTTATTTGACCGAGAGATAGTATCAAAGGGGTAGGCGGGAACAGTTGACGAATCAGCACAGCGGCCCCTCCTCAACAGCTCCGATCTTTGACAAAACTATCCGTTTATGTATGTGATAGCGAGGAAAGCACCCCTCCTGCAGCACACCCATGCGTGATAGGAAAAGACCAGCCGCCACATCGAGCCAAGAATCGAGTATTGCTCCGAAAAGGGCGCCAACATCAAACGTATTGCCCTTTGCAGGTGCTAGCTGCATAGGGCGGGCTGGGATTGGCCTATGGAGTGCTGAATATGCACGAAGTGTGAAAGTGACGGCAGCCCTGCACGAATCTGTGCGGTCCGACCAAAACGGCTATCTGAGTGCCTGGTCGCTGAGATTGACCTATCCATTTGTCGACGATTACCGCCCGCAAAATACTAACTTCCCGTCGGTGTCACGTCGACTCCAGCACACCAGGTGACCTTCTGCAAGCACCTCATTCCCGCCTAATCTCGACTCATCTGCCTCTAGGATCTGTCTGCAGCTAGCAAGGCACGATCGGAAGCGGGAAGTATAATCGCAGACGGCTCTTTGCTCAAACTCCGCGACAAGATGCACCTAGACGCCACAGTGGCTGGCTGACACCAGGTTCAATTGAGATCAATTGAGCGACCAACATCAAGTCCGAGCTCCTTGATTGGCCTCGAGCAGTTGGTAGCTTATTTGCATCCACACCCAGTAACCCCTTGCCCCTGCACCTTTTGAACGTTGCCTCTCGGTGCTACGTCCGCTGTCCTGAAGTTAATTTGACAAAGTCCACCAATGCCAAAGCTTCGCCATACTATGCCATGCCAATGCGCCAATGCAATGTAGCAACTATTGCATATGGTCAGGCGATGCCATGCCATGTGATACGATAGAAACAGAGGTAACTGGCTGTTGACTTGGTGTCGTGCTGCAACGAGGGCGCGTATTGATGATGATACAGGTGCGACGGAGCGATCCACCTGCAGCTTCTCCAACCATTCAACATCCGCCTCGTGAACGTGTATGCTTGGGCTTTTTGTCTGTGCGAGTGAAGAGGAGGAAAAACTGCAGAAAAAGAGGGGTCCCCGGGAACACTTCATCTGAACGTGTTCAACGTCCCGCCCCATGGCCAATAGCGAAGATCCTATCAGCTGGCAATGCAACACCACCATGCACTTCAGTTTGGAATGCGGGTGCAGCCATCCCGCCTCCACATATCAGATTCCAGGTCCAACCCGGCTCGTGCATGAAAGACACGGCCGCGTTTTCTGGGGACCTCGACCTTCCTACAGCTCCTGAACAATGCATGCGCTAACATCAGACCATGGCCTTTTTGCGATGCTTTCTCGATGCCATTGCCGCATCATTGACCCGTCTTACTTGCGTATTCGGCGTCAGGCACCAGAGGACCTCGCTTAGAACACGGGCACCTATCCGCCAAGCTCCCTCCTGCCCAGACTGGGATCGCGGCTGATCTGCAAGAAGCGACCGGTGAGAGGTGCCTGACATGCACCAAATGGCATCGAGGCTCATCCGTTAGGTCCCTCGAGTCCTCTTCCTTCTAACCTCAACAGCCGCGATGCAACCCTCCAGCTCACCGGCACTTCTAGTCTAAGCATCCCGGCAATTCCTTTTCGAGTAATTACCTACCTTACCCAGAAATCCTTCTTTCCACTTTTCTCTTCCCAACCCCCCAAGAAACCCCACGAGCATGCGATGGCTGAGTATGATGCTCCACGAGGCACCACTCTACGACACCACCGTGTGCGGTGAATGAGGTTGACGAAAGATGTGCACTGAACCACGCTAGAGCCACCATGTGAACAGCCCAAGCATACCGAGGGCCGGCCGTCAAATTAGTCCGTCTTGCAAAACTCGCCATGGCAGATCACTTAGTG